AACCTGTTTCTGTGTAACGCTCAGAAGATGACTGACACAAAAGCATCCAGGCAGAAGAGGAGCCAATATGAAAAAATCTGGTTAAGCACAAGATGCCTCTCATTTTTCTGACATAATTCTGCACGTGACAACTTAACGCTTTATTCACAAACATCAGGAGTCTTCACTGGCACATGGAACTATACTGGTAGAGCACATTAGGAAGTTTGGATGTTGTCTCAGGGACAACATTATACTCTTGACTCGCACTTGTATGACAAGTTTGATAGAAAAAGTTCACAGAAAACAACCAATGAGCAATCATGTTTACTACCTCATATGGCAAATATCTATAACACAAAAAAGATGACAAGTACATATATGTGAGTAAAATTATTATCGATTAAGTGTCCTTATTTGATAGCCTCTGGGATTCAAATAAAGGACTTGAAATACATTTCAAACCCCATCGTCATCATCAACCTAATCTTTTACTGATTTCTACAACTAACTTTCCAGTGAAGTATGACTGAATCTAAAGCAGAGCTTTGAAGATCTTCCTATCATTTTGCCCATGAAAACAAATAAATATAAACCTAATGGTGTGCTCTTGCAGAAATCTTATTTTCTGAAACTGCAGATATCTGCCAAAATGGTTTAATTTTTATTGCATGTACTAATCAGAACAGTAGCGTACAACTCTAATGTATGTTTTGGCATTTCAGTGATGAAAATAGTTTCTATTTTAAGGCAGCTGGAGCACTAGAAGTACCAAGCATAAGAAAGTTATTTCTGTTCTGAGCACATTAATAAACAAAGCCTACAATATAAATGTTAGTAAAAACCCAAATGACTCTTGCCAAGTTTTTTTTATATATCTCCTGGGAAAGAAATATTATGATTAACTTTAATTAATTTTCATGCACAGTTTATCATTCTCAAAAATGAAAAAGTCCAGATCACCTAAGAAATTTTTAAGATATTGCTTAACATGAAAAACTAGAATATACCTGAGAGTGAGTATTCGCCTTTTAGACTTTCGCTTTCTCGAATTAGGAAGGTTCCTGCCTGGTTTCCAGGGTATGACAGTTGTCTCTCAGCATCTGCTCGTTTGATTGGGCCAAAAAACCATCTGAACAAATAAAAAACATTAATTTTACCAGTCAGTGAAACATACCAGGAAGACAATTTAGCTTTATAAACATGCTGCGTATTTACTAAAAGATAATCTGTGCTATGCTAATTAAATTCCAATAGCATGGGGGAAAAAAGCCAACAAGAACTACACAACAAATTTATTGCTAGAAAATATTGCTTACACGTTTAAGTGAAATCTGGATTTTACTGCTGATGGAAAGTCCTACTGATTTCAAGGGAACAAGAATTCAGAAGCGACAGACTGGCCTTGTCCCAGGAAAAATTCACCAAGAAACTTTTCCAAGCTGCTGTGGTGGAAATTGATGCCAAGTCCATCGACGCCACTTGAATTACGCAGAGGTGCAGGTATGTGCTAGCACCCCCACGTCTTAAAAGTCAAAGATCCCCGAAACTGCAGAAGGGCTCTCAGGTTCCAAGAGTTAAACCGCCCTGCAGCCTTCCCCATTCCACTGCCACGTTGATATCTCAAATGAGTTACTGGCAATTTCTCAGCACTGTTGCTGTTAGACAAACAAACCCAATATGTCCCTCAAGCCACAGCAAACATCTCAACATCCCTGTTCTGTAACGACCTACTCCTATCTACGCCTCTTAAAACGTATTCTCCCTCTCTAACTAAACCCTGTAGTTTACAGGGACTTGTTCAAGCAATAGTTTTGGTTCGCTTCTCTGAGGGTACTATTTAGCTCTTTTGCTGTTTGGTGCAGAGGATAAATTAAATGGAAATAAGGCTGAGATGAGTCACCATTTTCAACTGGGGTGGCATTCAGCTTCAATCCAACAAACACAGAAAGCTCTTTCAAAGATTAGCTCCACCCCTCATTTGAAGCAAATGGTGATAAATACTTATCAGATATATGCCATATACTCATAGGAGAATTGCTTTTCAATTAATCATAGCTAAACCTATTATGCAAATTTTTGAGATAAATCAATGTATCTCACCACAAGTAAGTTGCCTATTCAGCTAACTACTTGATTTTTCAATTACTAGTGAAAAGTACAGAAGGAGTCATCAACAAACTACTTTAATATCTGTAAGGCTTGTAATCACCAGGAGGAAAGGAGGAAATAAATGAGAACATTGGGTGACACCTTGGCTGAGCAAGCATGAGGAATGAAAAATGGTTTTGTATGAATAAAGAGGAAATAAAAAGAGGCAAATACAGAAGGTGCTAACCTACACTGAATATGCTTTGTTAACGAAAGAAAATGAAATCCAGATATTCCGGACTACATTCCTGTCCTCTGACTTGAAGATGATTAGAATAAAATAGGCCTTGCCACATATTTGGCAAGGAAAGGAATCTCATTAGAAAGTTGGAATGTGTTAGTAGTAATTTTAATTAGTTAAATGTGTCAATTAATGCAACTAATTAATTAAATTAATTCATTAATTAGACTGTAGAAAACTAAGTAATCAATAAATGTTCAAATCCTTGACTGAGGTTCTCATCAAAGGAATGAGACAGAGTACAAGTTCAACTCTATTCAAGTCCCAAAGAAAATTTGTCTACTCTAAAAGCTGAATTAGAACCTTTCTCAAATTTCTAAATACAACTGCTCTGAGAATAACATCTGAAAATTAATAAACTATATGATCTGAAAAAAAAAAAGTTGAACTGATATTTTTCTCCTTGAATTATATCACTTAGTAATGTCCAAAGTGACTGATTCTCATAAGAGTGCATAAGAAAAGGTGTTTAATTTTGTGTCTCCTTTCCTCACGGGTTAAAAGGATGGCATCCCCTCAAAAGGACTTAATTTTGTACCAAAGCCAAAAGAACTTCCAGTTAGAAAAGTTAAATTTTATGTTGTGGATAGTCAAAAGTATAGTCTTTACATGACCCAGTATTTGTACATACACTGCTAGTAGCTCATCTTGCTAAAACTGAAAACATGAGCAGTAATACATTGTATGCAACAAGAGGAAATTGTTGGTTTATTTGGGAAATAGGATTTAAAGTAGTATTACGCTTGTGTATGTAAGATCATGGCTACAATACAGAATATGATTTTGAAAAAAAACCCAGCATAAGTGCATAGCGTATTTAGGCGTATGTATCTGTTCCTTTAACTTCAAAATATTTCAAATTATATGTTTATTTTTCTTAGGTTGGAAAAACTGCATTTAAATCAATATGAATTTACCATTGAAGATTATATGGAGGATATGTCATATGTAAGTTCTGACTCCAGACAAACTTAACCATTAAAAAGGCCCTGACTTGCAAAATAATATAATTAGAGCAACAGTATTTGAGAAGGTAAGTGTAACTGAAGGAATTATTACGGAGAGTGAAAAGTGGACACATATTGTGTATTATCTCATTTGCCTGACTTTAAATGATCTGATTAAAATGTTTCAGAAATACATAATGAAAATTACTTTTAATAGCATTTGAATACGGGTTTCTTCCTTCATAGACATTGGGTTTGCAATAATATTCATGCAGGACCAAAAGCAATACCAGTTGTGAAAAAATAACCCCTTAGCCTCAAAGCAAATAATTCAATTTATTCACTTTTTTTTTAACAAAAGCACATCTGAATTTAAAGTGCTATTTCCTTTATGAATGGAAGTTTAAATTCCTTTTTGAGAGCATGAAGGCTTATTTTATTCAAATTCTAGCGATTGAACTTATGCTTCCAAAGGCTTAATATTTTACTTCATCCAAAAGTTTTTATTTTAGAGGAAAAGTACTCTAAAGAGTAATAATGAGTCAAAGTAATTGCTCACCGTGAGATGTTTTTCTGTGGGATAGGAAGGTCAGACCAAACCAACATCTAATCCTTAGTAAATCTATTTGGTTTTTATAGCCCAAAGTTAGATGGAGGTTTTGAAACAGAACACTTGGAAAAACAGGACTGAAACATCAAGCGCCATCCATTGCACAAGTTACTTAACTAGCACTTTTTCTGACTTCAGTGCGCTATGTTGGCAGTAGACAGTTCAGGAGAAGGTTGAATTAGGAACTCATACACAGTTTCACTCCAAACCTCAGCTCACAGCTGGATCACTTTGGGTCATGATTATCAATGCAGGATCAACAGACTAGCGGGTATGATGCAAATGACTGCATTCAGACTTGGGCATAAGTTTCCATTTCTAGCAGGAGCTGTCTGGTTAGCACAGGAGTAGCGCTCTTCTGTCATTGGGACCTAGGAACATGCTTTCTTGGCCAGCACTGTGTCCGACACCCCATTCTTTCTCCCTTTTCAGTGTAGGATGCCAGATCTGCTTTTGAGGGATTGTTTCTAGCAGCTTCCTCAAAATCCCTGGTTTCCACCATCATTCATAGCTCTCAGGAAGCCCTTCATTAAAAATTCCAGGCTACCTCCAGGTCAGTTCTGGGCACCATAAATGGGAGGACTTCAGGGACAGAAAAGATGACCTTCATGTAGGTCCGTAACAGAGTCCTCACTTGGTGCAGATGATGCCCAATACTAAAGTACCAGTGAGGTCTGTTGTGGTCATTCAGAATGCAGTGATCCCATCTCTATTGGTCATCAGTTCTGCTGGCAAGTTTTTGACCACTCGATCAACAGCTGATAGACACATGTATCATAGCAGGCTTTGTCATGGGATGTTCCTTGACTGTGACAGTATCATTGCTGAGACCTGTACTCCTATCCTACAATCCTTTTCTTCCAGCAAAGCAAAGCATATATCTTCATCAAGGTGAACGCTGGTGGTTATTCTTGAAGCGCAAATTTTTTAAGAAACAGAGATCATGTCACCTACGCTCACCCTTGCCTCCCCATTCAGTCCAGCTTGAATCAAAATGGAGTCATGAGTTCAACAGAAGCTGATGGTGTTACTTGGTTCCATCACTGCCTTTGCTCAGAAGCCCTCATTCCTCCAGGTTGCAATGCACCGCTGATCTCTGTCTAGATGTCAAAACCCCATTTCCTTGGCTCTGCTTTGTGTCTCCCTGTGCTTTGCAACATAAAAATCCACTACAATAAAAACAGTTAGTTCTACTTCTGCACTTTTTTTCTTATAGCAGGAAGATATGGCAGGAACTTTTAATCTGGAAGGTGGAAGAGAGGAAGAATGACATTGGCCAAAGGTATTGCATGCTGCATAGCTGCTGGCAGGATCACTAAAGCAAAGAAAGATAGGGAGGCAAAGTTCTGCAATGCTATGCCACTGGCAAAGTTTCCAGTGCCTGGCAACATGCCAAGAAGATAAGACCTCAGTGGAAAAACAAGAAACCCCACAAATATCCCCATCCAACAAAGAGTATGCAAAATGCATTTTCTTCCCTTCCATTCTGCTCCCTCCCGTTATCTGGTCATGTCACTGTCAACAGTGCAATGCACTTATTCAAGGTAGAGATTGAAGATTTAGCAGAGGATCTCAACTAATCTGGGAACTAATCTGGATCTTTTTCTCTCCTGAAATTAACTCTATCCACCACCCAGAGTTAAACCCAAACAAAAGGATTCCCAGTCATGGTACAGTTGAAAAAACTCATAGGGGAAACATTTTTTTTCAGCCTACCATTACTTGGGCAGGGCTTTTAGAGCCCCCTGTTCCCCTCTTACACGGGAGCTTTATGCTTCATCTCTCCTAAGTCCCAAACACACTAACTCCTAGCTCTAAATCAAGTGTATGTTGAGCCTTAGCCAAAGCCACCCAGTCATGGGCCAGACAAAACAAGTCGACTCAACTTTTCTTCGGCAGACTTTGGAGCTTTTTTCAAACTGGATTTGGGTTTCTCATCATCTTAACCCTAAAACTAATCCTAACCCTAGGCGTGGGCTGACCTCTTCCAAAGATCCTCAGTCATGCCAAATGAACGAGTAACAAGGCATGGGCTAAGTCCCATAGAGGGGGACCCCTTGGCATGCGCCAGAGACAAAAGTCCTAAGAGGATAAATCTCTCTGCAGCTTCAACTTTCCTTGTGTGGCCACTGTGCCACCACCCTCAAGCAGTAGCTCTAGTATTTGCCTTTCTCCTAGCCCAA